ATATATATATATATATATATATATAGATAATATTAGTGGAAAATATACATACATATGAAAAATATATCTAAAAATTTCCCATACATGTATATTTTCAGAAAAAAATTTTCCAAGAGGAAGGATCCAGGTAGAACTCAATGTCTAGGACAGAGTAAGGATATATATATATGAGTAAGGATATATATATATGAGTAAGGATATATATATATATGAGCTCTCTGGTCGTTTTCGACGTATGAGTGTCTTTCAATTCAGTTTTTTCATCCTGTTCCTGTCGCATTAACTCACTAGCCAGTTGCTCATGGGGAATAGCAAAGAACTGAACTGCGGATTATCCACACAAAAGATTTGTTTAAAGTGGTGAAGGCTTGTGTAGAACCAGTCACACGTATTGGAAGTGCTAATAACAAGGACTTGGTGCAAATATTTGCCACGAACACAATGAACAACACCCCTCAGGATTTATTATCACGGAGTTATACCTCTCCCGTACTACCTGTGCACAGAAGACTGCAGCATCTTTCGATGGTAATTTCACCTGATTTAGCCCTGCGTGCGGAAGAGATTTACATGGTTTGGCGCGTGGAGATTTAGAGGGATGAAAAGAGACCAGTGTTGCGTGTCCATCTTAATAATAAGAGCAGAGGCCGAGTAAGAAAGGTACTACTTCTACACAATACCACGTACACGCATAGAACATACACTTGGCCTCGGAGTAAACAGATCATCATCAATGTGCAATATATTGCTACCAAATATAAATTAATATAAAGTATAAGGGAAAATTTTATTAATATTATTATTAATATTATTGTTGTTGTTTAAAAATTGAAAGATAAATAATAAAACAAATTGACTTGTAGTAAATACGAAACAAAAAAAAAACGCAGTGATAAAAAATAGTTTAATATTCTTCTCTTGCGGACAGATTTATAGGGATTTCTGGGATTATTGGCCCTCATTTGATAGTGTTCCTTCGGAGGGTTTGCGTGATGGCGTCTCGATTAAGGGACAAGCCTCGCGAAACGGAGTGGCTCTTACAGCGTGTCTCACTGGCAATGGTGCGAGGTAATGCTTTCTCCATCATTTTTTTTTTGTTTATAGATACTTTGTTCAAATAAAAACTTTATTTCAATTATAAAGCTGGGAAGTCGTTGATTTGGGATGCAACCTGTGCCGATACATTTTCGACCCGTAATTTGATCAGGTCCGCTGTTGTTGCCCGGGACTCAGAGATAAAAAATAGTTATTCTTCTTTTGCTGAGAGATTTTTTTCTTTTTACTCCTGTGGCAGTGAAGGCTTCTGTGGTTATTGGCCCTCGTTCGATGGCGTTCCTTAGGAGGATTGGCGCGATTGCGTCTCGATTAAGGGACGAGCCTCGTGAAACAAAATGGCTCTTGCAGCGTGTTTTACTGGCGATGGTGCGAGGTAATGCTTTCTCCATCAATTGTGGCTGGCAGAGGATAGCAAAAAAATATCATTTTGTTTTTGTTTATAGATACTTTGTTCAAATAAAAACTTTGTTTCAATTTTAAAGTTGGGGAAGTCTTTGATTTGGAATGCCACCTGTGTCGATACATTTTCGACCGTTAAATAAATCAGGTCCGTCGTTGAGCCGAGATCTGTCGTTGGGGACGCGGGGATAAAAAAAAATAGTCAAATAATCTTCTCTTGCGGAGAGATTTATAGGGACTTCTGGGGTTATTGGCCTTCGTTCGATGGCGTTCCTTCGAAGGGTTTGCGGGATGGCGTCTCGATTAAGGGACAAGCCTCGCGAAAGGGAGTGGCTCTTGCAGCGTGTCTCAGTGGCCATGGTTCGAGGTAATGCTTTCTCCATCATTGCGGCTGACAGAGAATAGAAAAAAATTGTTTATAGTTACTTTCTTCAATTTTTTTTTTCATAAATAAATTTATCTATATTTTGGAAATAACGTGGTAACTGTGAACGCGTTTTCAATAAAATTGAAATTACGTTGCATTGCAATTAATAAATAAGATAATGTAAAGAATTAAAATTCATAGTAAGTGTTGTAAAAGAATCTTTGAACATAACTAATAACAGTTTAAAAAAACGGCGATAATGAGTAACTAGTCAAAGATAAACAAAATAGACATTACGACTACTTTCGTAAATATATATATATATATATATATATATATATATATATATATATATATATATATATATATATATATCAGACTATTAGTGATTTTAAACGTATTTCATTCCGATTCTCTAAATATACATATCTGCTCTGTTTCATATCCTAACGTAAACAAAAAAAAATTAGGAAATAGTTTAAATCCGACATATTTTTAATTTATTTTTAAACGTTATTTTTAACTGGATACTCTTTGTTTACGTTTGGATACGAATCAGACACACACACACACACACACACACACACACACACACATATATATATATATATATATATATATATATATATATATTTATATATTCGAGAATCGGGAAGATGTTTGTTCACAAGCCCTATTTGGTCTTTGATCAGGAGGTCAAATTTGGCCCAGTGGTATAAGGCACATATATATATATATATATATATATATATATATATATATATATATATATATATATATATATGAATGTAAATGAAATAATAATAAAAAAACGAAAAATATTAATCTACAACCCAGTGTGTCAAAAGATTTTAATTTTTTAATATTTTTATTGTTCAATATATATATATATGTGTGTATATATATATATGTATTTATAGCAAAGTACCAGACAAACCTACCTAGGTTTTATCAAACTGGCCCTGACGATCCACGTAGGTGAAACCTAAGTAGGTTGTCTGGCTCTTTAGGTTTATTTACTTATTTTGCTCTACTTAGTGTATTGAGCACTTTATTTAGTTATTTTACTTTACTCGTATCGGAGGTTTTTTTCTTTGGACTGTAAACTTAGATTCTAGACGATTATTTTCGCCGGAAGTACATGTTCTTAGTTCTTTCTTTTTTTACGCTTCTTTTCCTCTTGGGTATTGGTTTGTTGATTTACAAGCTAAAACACCTAAGGTTTTGCCGGACGACTTCTACTGCTTATATAGATATGATTATTAGTGTTATATATATTTATAGGTTAATGCAATTTTATAATTTTGTTCATGAAGAGATTTCGCCATTTCATATCATTAACTTGACTAATCTACTTTTTGTATGAATGATTCATTGTAATATAAATTGAACTGCACCCTCATATTTGATTTAAAAGAACTGATCCGACGTGCAAATTTTCGGGATAATATCTAAGACATTACTGTATTTATTGAACTATTTCATGCTACATTGACTGATAAATTTCTACAACAAAAAAACAAAAAAAAAAAAAATTCTCAAATTGCCATATTAATAAAAAACGCACTCTCTTACATTTTCAAAAAAATTCAACCTTAGCGTTGCGACTGCACGCTCCAAAAGTTTGTATCCGTTAACAATAACACATTAAAAAAAAAAAAAAAAAAAAAAAACATATTTCGATTCGCATTTAATTTTTTCGACTCGGATGTTACCTGAATTGAACTAAGAACAAAATAATTTCCATGCCTGAGGATGACTGAATGTACAATTGAAAATACTTACATATTAAAAAAAAAATCTTTTACAGCTCATAATTATTAGAAACAAGGATCATAACATTCATCGATTGATTTATAGGTTAATGAAACTTTAGAATTTTATTCGCGAAGAGATTTCCCCATTTTATATCATTAACTTTACTAATGTACCGTTTGTATGAATGATTCATTGTAATATATATATATATATACATATATATATAAGAATTCTAAGAATATCGACCAAAATGAATATGTATGCCCCAATAGCAACGCATATAATATGACGGACATCTGAAGACGGCCGGCGAGTAGAACAGCCGAAACGTTGTGATTATAACAAGCAAGATGTGTATGTTAAGTATGTATACTTTTTTTTTCAGTATAATGACAGTTCATTTCACCCCATGTTTAAGTGCAGAGATCGAAGCTTATACAGTAAAACTTTCAGATCAAATTTCCGGAAATAACTGTGTCGGCATCTCCATCTAAGGATGCAACTCCCGACTTTGTGTCACGTTTTATTGTGACTTGGGCGCGCGGATAAATACTTATTGTGACACACCCTCGTATGTAGGAGAAAGATAAAAATCATCATTTGTGCGCAAACACTTCTGTAGAGACATCGATCTACCCTTGGGAGCCCTTGTAGTTTCAAACCGATAGCGGAACGTTACCACATATGTCATTAACCGTCTCCGAAGAAGCCCTTTTCAAGAACGATAGCGATAAACAGATTGGTATGAAGACAGAGATTCGACTTGACTCTTCTTCGATGTAAATTGGCTGCATCATTGTGAACTACTTCAGCTTTCCGCCTCTTTTTGCTCGACTCGAACACAAAATGCTGAACGCATGCGTTTTAAAAGATCCGTTTTATGATGTCTTCCTTTTTTTGACGTTTTTTTTTTTCTTTTTTTGAAATATCTCACCTTTCACCACTTACGCTAGCAACTTCTCTTATGCTACCGATTTCACGTTTATTTTAGCGCCCCTTTTCCGACATGGAAACTGTTTTTTCGCATTAAAAGATTTAATCTACAAGAAACAGAATAAAATAACCTATGTATGTAGGGTGCTTGTATATATACACGAAAGGTGCGGCAAAGTACTCGGCCCAACCAAGAACCCCTTCCCAGCCAAAAAAAGCTGATGTTTCCTCATTCGGTTAGATTTTGGAAAGTGGTTTGTGTTCTACATGTTTTTTTTTTCAGCACCCACTTAAAATAGATAAAAACCAAAAAACGAAAGTGTTTTAGGAGTGGATGTTTTACGAAATGTGGTATTTGAGGTAATTACAAGAATTTATCTAGATTGAATTCCATTTAAAAAATAAAATAAATAAGTAGGAAGGGCGTGGCTAATACAATTGCAACGTCTTCTCACTTCAAAGATATCGCTATTATTTCCGGCTTTGAATGGTACTGACAAATTCTGTTTTCTCGCTTTTTCATTCCCTGTTTTTCTCACATTCTCTCTACCTCTCTCTCTCTCTCTCTCTCTCTCTCTCTCTCTGTTCAGTGCCTCAGCAGGACGTGCTTGATTATGGCTCTCCACAATTTCTTTTTTTTCGTTGCTCTCAGAAACACACACACTCTCTCTCTCTCTCTTCAACGCTTCTTAAGGGCATGGTTGATAATGGCTCACCACAATTTCTTTTCTTTTGTTGCTCTCAGCAATACTCTCTCTCTCTCTCTCTCTCTCTCTCTCTCACTCTATCTCTCTCTGTTTTCAACGCTTCTTCAGGACGTGGGTAATTATGGCTCTTCACTATTTCTTTTCTTTTGTTGCTCTCAGCAATACTTTCTCTCTCTCTCTCTCTCTCTCTCTCTTTGTTCAATACTTCTTCAGGAATTTGGGTGATTATGGCTCTCCACAATTTCTTTTCTTTTCTTGCTCTGAGCAATACTCTCTCTCTCTCTCTCTCTCTCTCTCTCTCTCTTTGACCTTCCACGCTTCTTCAGGACGTGGGTGATTATGGCTCTCTACAATTTCTCTTCTTTTGTTACTCTCAGCAAAACTTTCTCTCCCTCTCTTCAACGCTTCTTCAGGACGTGGGTGATTATGGCTCTCCACAATTTCTTTTTCTTTTGTTGCTCCCAGGAATACTTTCTCCACTTTGATGTCTTGATCGCCTTCTGATATTTTTACATTCAGCCACGATTTATCCTGTTCATAATATGGCCTATACATTGAAGCACATGTTCCTGTATGATAAATGAAGTTAAGCAACGTCGAGCCTAGTTAATACCTAGATGGTTGAACGCTTGAGTATGGATGTGCTGTTAGTGTTATAGATAATGGCTCGGAATTGTTATTTGAAGAGACGAGTTCCAATTCCATTTGAGTGTGTTGTATTTATTTACGCGCAAATATCCTTCGGGAATCTGTGAATCCCCTCCTCTTTATCCTTATTTTCTGTGTCCCTCTCCGCCATTCCCTGTTCTTTGTCTACTGTCTTCTTGATTCCTCTTCTATTCCTCTCCCCCTTTAATAAATGTTTCTCTTTTTTCTTATTCTTTCACGCTCTTTGACCCCTTGTGCCTTAGTGGCTTTACGACCTTCAATGGGGTGATATGATTAAAATAAAAACAACCAAAGTCGTATTTGCCGTGTCCCTTCGAATCCATGGGGTGATATGATCAAAATAAAAACAACAAAAGACGTATTTGCCGTGTCCCTTCGAATCGTTGGCCATCATGTCTCTCCACCATTTCCTGTTCTTTATCTACTGTCTTCTTGATTCCTCTTCTATTGTTCTCAATCCTTAATAAATGTTTCTCTTTTTTTTTTTATTCTTTCACGCTCTGTGACTCCCGTGTGTCTTAGTGGCTTTAATGCCTTCCATGGGGTGATATGATTAAAATAAAAAAAAAACCAACCAAAGACGTATTTGCCGTGTCCCATCTAACCGTTGCCCATCATGGCTCTCCACTATTTCCTGTTCTTTATCTACTGTCTCCTTGATTTCTCTTCCATTGTTCTCACTCCTTAATAAATATTTCTCTTTTTTCTTATTCTTTCACGCTCTGTGTCCCCTTGTGTCTTAGTGGCTTTACTGCCTTGCATGAGGAAATAGGATTTAAAAAAAAATAGATAAATAAATTTCACACGATTCTCTTGTAAAAGATTAATTTTGCATATCTCGTTATAATAAACTGCATTTACATTTTCCTCGTGCTTTTTTCAAACTGAATAGGACATCATGCAACACTGTCCTAATCCTGAAAGACGTTGCACCATGTAGAGAGCCTTTGCTTTAAAAAGTATAATTAGTGAAAGAATAAAATTTACCGGATGAACCAGGAAAGTGAGAGAACTAAATGATATTCGACACTATTTTATCACTTCGTTGCCACCATAACAACGACTCTAATAACATTTGACAACATGTTCTTCATTTGCAAATGGCAGACAACGGTCGACTGGACGTTCTACTGTCGTTTCTAGATTCGGGTTTAATTATATTTGTGAAGCTTTGTAACTCACGCGCGGGACGTTACACTGATTCACTAAAGACGAAATCATTTCCCGTGTGATATTCTAAGCCCAAATCGGAAAGACAGACAGACACCCCGAAAATGCTGAGAGGAGAAAAGAAAAGAAGCGTTTGTCTCTAAGACTTTTAGATTTTATTCTCTTGTTTAGTAAAAGCCGTCGTTTGACTCGACTCTGTCTTCACACAATCTGATAGTAACGATGTATGCCTTATTGTCGGCTGCTGAGTGGGTGTAACTGAAGCAGATGTAATCTTCCTGTCAGCAAGTCCTAGATATATTTTAATGCTTTAAGAATTTCAGGCAATTAAAAGAAAAGAACTGGAATTTGGTGAATCAGAAATCGACAGAGAGAAATAATACCGTTTTTTTTTTTAAATTTTCCTATGTTGGTTACCTCTATCGTTACAGAATAGTGGATTATTTAGGAAGTAAAGCTTCCTTTTACGAATAATTAATATGATTATTCTTTGCTCACAAACGCACACAAAAATTTACTGTAAAACAAAACAAAATAAAGTAAAAAATTAAAAAAAAGAATACGATGATTATTCAGTTTGTGCATGAATCATGATTTCTAAACAAATTATTTTATGAATTTATCCGTCCTTGGTATAACGATAAACTACATCCAACAGCAATGCTTCTGATCAGGAGGTTTTGAGGAGCATGGAACCACTTCTTCATTGCTGGTGTACCCAGGTTTACTCTGACCCGGCGTGGGAGCACCTGTTAGAGTCCCAGCTATGGGCAGATAGTTAACCCAAAAACTGGGTTAAAACACTAAAAAGCTTAAAAATAGGTTTTAATACCAGAAATACTTTGTAAAAAAAAGTATTACCAGCAATTCATTTTTGAAAAAAAAAATCTATATATATATATTACCAGCTACATATTTTTGAAGGAAAAATATTAACAGAAATAAAAGATTGTCGGCATTGAGGTTGGTAGGGCGTAAAATAAAATAAACTAAACAAAATCTCCGACAAACTGATTTCTTACAAAGAATATTTCTATTCATACTAACTTATCCTAAAAATCTTGCCGGCATTAAATAACACATTGAGGTGTTGATATGTCGTAAAACAAAATAAACCAAACCAAATCTCCTACAAATTGATTTCTTACAAAGAATATATATTCTATTCATACGAAACTATCCTAGAAATCTTGTCGGCATTAAATAACCCATTGAGGTGTTGATATGCCGTAAAACAAAATAAACCAAACCAATCTTCTATAAACTGATTTCTTACAAAGAATATATATTCTATTCATCCGAAACTATCCTAGAAATCTTGTCGGCATTAAATAACCCATTGAGGTGTTGATATGTCGTAAAACAAAATACACCAAACCAAATCTCCTACAAACTGATTTCTTACAGAGAATATATATTCTATTCATACGAAACTATCTTAAAAATCTTGCCCGCATTAAATAACACATTGAGGTTGATATGCCGTAAAATAAACTAAACTAAACCAAACCAAACTAAATCTGAATTTACCGCTTTCTAACTGGGCACCCTGTGTTTGCATCTTGAAAAGCCAACTGGCTGAGACTTGCTTTTCATATGGACTGATACATAAAATAATGATTCCCACTCTTATCTCTTGTTCATGGATTTTTGTGGCCTTTAAATATTTGGGAAGTGATTATCTTATTTTCATTTTTTGTTTTTAAAACAAGAGCAGTAAATTAAAATTTCAACTTGATTATATTTATTTTATAATGCGTTTCCAACAACTCATTCGGTTTATTAAGAAAATTTAGTATTTAGTAAAAAAATCTGTAATCTTTGGCCAACCTATTAAATCGACTCGTGTAAAAAATGAAAATTCCGTTTTCAAAAGAATGAAATAATTCTTGGTTAATCAAAATCTAAAAATACCAAATTACTTGGCTTTCTTTAACAGTGTAAAAAATTATATCAGCAATTGCATTTCTGATTTTATGTTTTAAATTTTACTGTATTATAATTTAATTTTTAAAATTTCACTCATAAAAAATTAAAAGATTGTTGTTAATATCAATATATATATATATATATATATATATATATATATATATATATATATATATATATATATATATATTATGCCAATTAATTGAAACAGTCGCTTTAGTTTCCTTTCTGTCACCATACGGTCAGTTTTAGGAGTGATACTGTGGGTGTAATCGTTTTCTATTTTTTTTTCCTCAGGCTAGGTCATTTGCAGTGCTGTGCAGGGATATGAATCTATTTTCGGTGTGTATGATAAAATTTGTTTGGCCTTGAAAAATATTGCCTCATACGTGATTGCATCAGATTTTCATCACGCCCAAACACTAATGTCTCGAGTGTCGATTAGTTGTCCTACTGTCATTGTCTGCGATAGACGTTACTCCAAGAAAGCGTACGAAAATTTTAACGATGCACGAACAACACTGGCAAGCCTTACCAGTGAGCAAATCAAAGTACTATAGATTGGCCCGGAATATCTGCTGATTTAAATCAAAATCGAGAATCTGTGTTCAATCTGCAAGGAGCGAATTTGTGGAATGGACGGACAATGTCCTAACATGTGCACTGGGTTTGTTTCATTGGAAAAATACGAAAATGTAAATAATGATGGAATTATTTGATTTGTTTCAATTAATTTTCAAATCATATATATATATGTATACCCAAGTATATAATTGGTGTATACGGAATGAATTCCAATTACTATTCTTAAAAGAGTGCTCAATACAAAGTAGAGCAGATATAATTACTTGATAAGACACCGAGGGTGTTGAAACAAAATGGCTATTTTTGTAGTGATTTTATAACATATTTATGTTATTATTTTTTTTAATTTTTTTTTATAAAAAATAATTATATATATATATATATATATATATATATACCTAAGAAAGTTGTTTCGATTAAAAATTCAAACAGGATAAAGATGTGAAGAGTGAAAATACAACCTTGACATTCGTATTATAATGCATTTTATATGTTATCATTTCATCTCACTATATGATTATTACCAATGTTCAATTAATATTGATAAAATTAGGGGAAAATATTTGAAATAGTTTACATTTTTACTATGAGGCCGGATAAAATATTGTAATTTACTAATTGCTTGGGAAGAATAACTTCTCTTAATAAGAAAAAAAATACTCTAAGCAAAGGCAATAAAGGCAATAAAACGCAAGAAGTGAAAGAATATGAAAAAAAAAATTATTAAAGACTGAGGACAACTAAAAAGAACAGGGATGTAAAAAAAAAACAGAATATAATGAGAGATATTGCATAGAGAAGTGCGAGAGAAGAAACTATTAGCATAGAACCTACAGTTACATCGAGCCATTTCAACTGTAAAATGATGGGACCTAGCTGCCAATCTAGTACTGCTCTTAAATTCATAAAGTCTAGGTAAAAAGAGTATAGCATATCAAAAAAATTACCATGAATA